ACAGTGTCCTGAGACAACGTATGTTGTGACTTGGAGCTATATAAATAAACTGAATTGAACTGAGTTGACACACCTAACACACCTAACACAGCCCTAACACACCTAACACAGCACCAACACACCTGACACAGACACACATCAGGCTGATGGGAGGCTTCTGGGAACTCACCTGATCCATGATAGTGAGTTTCTGTCTCCACAGAGCAAAACAGAAAAGTCCTTAAATCAAGTGTTTTTATCAGCCTCTCATCCTGAGTGCAGTCAGCTTCCAGCTCTTCAAAGTCCACCCTGTCAGCTCGTCTCAGCAGCTGCTAGTTTCAGGAATGAGGCTGAGAGGGGAAACTCACTCTCAATAGAAAGGAAACCGTCCAGCTCGACAAACAAGTCTGGCTCATTTAACGTAACCCTGTTAGCATTTTTTTCCTGTCCTGCAGGAATGTCACCCAGCTGGTACCGTGACTGTTCACTGACTCACCTGAAGCCTTCAAACTCTGACCTGGCTTTTTACTTTTATATATTTTTATAAATAAATGTTTCATCAGTATAATGTGGATTCTGTTGTTTAATGGAGAACTTCATTCGTTTCTTTCTTTATTTAAAACAAATCTTATTTTAAGTGAAAACAGGGCAAAGGAAGCTATAGAAGCCAGTCTACATTCCAGGTCTGGTAAACAGAATTAGAAGTATTTAAGAAAGTATTTATACTATGAGTCCAACACACTACCTGCCACATGGCAGTGTGTCAGAGACCAGTCTGCCTGACACAATGAAAAGCTACGAGCTGATTCTTTATCTGAACAGATGTGAGTCTGATCTGTGAGTCCTGTTAACACAAACCTACAGCAGCTGGGAAATGTCCCCCAGTAAAGACCCAGACTGTCAGAGGACAGCTAGAGTCACGGCCTCATGGAGTCTCAGGGGTCCAGGTCCAGATCCTAAGGTGGGTTTGAAACACTGAGTGCAAGTCTGGACTTAGATAAATGCTTGTTTATTTGTGTGTTTGTTTAGAAGTTGTGTAAACAAAATATCTTATGAACTATTGGACAGATTTTAATGATAATGAATTTAATGTTTCTGGTTGATGCCATGATACCATGTAATGTTTACTGGAAATAAGATAGAAAAGATGCCTGATATATACTGTATATAGAAGTTGTGTAAACAAAATATCTTATGAACTATTGGACAGATTTTAATGATAATGAATTTAATGTTTCTGGTTGATGATATGATACCATGTAATGTTTACTGGAAATAAGATATAAAAGACTCCTGTTTTAGTTTGTTTAATTGTTTAATCTTAATTTTGTTGTAAGTTTGAAGTTATTTTTTAATAACTCTGCACATTTTTCATTCAGAACCTCATTTCTTTTTTCTTTTAAATATTGGAAACACAGTTTTAACGAAACAAAACATTACATAGAATAACGGGGGGAACATTTATTATAAATTTCTCTATTATTTGTTATAGAGCTAACAGACAGACGCCTTCTTGAAGTCAAAATGTTGAAGCCAAACTGGTGTTTTTGGTGTTTATTCTTCTCTGTTTGTTTTTATAAATGACAGAGCGTTCATGTAAAAAGTATTGGTCACAGCTTGAGGACAAAAGGTTGACAATAAACAGGTAAATATTACGTGTATTAAACAGAAATAAACTGGAACCTCCTGTCTGCTCTGTTGCACCAAAATACATTTAGATTTTGGATCAGATTTTGCTGTTTCAGATCCACGTTAAGAAATGTTGTTAACATATTTGTAGTTTAGCTTTTGAAATGTGAAGATGTTAAAAAACACCGGGGCATTCTGCTTGTCAGTTCTTGTCTTGACAAAACTTATTTCAGACGTCAGGCGTCACTTTTACCAGCTTTACAACAATATGGTACAATATAACAACAACCAGTGGTGGGCACCAGCCCGCTAAAGTGCAAATCCACTAATTGCAGACATAAGTATTTTGTTTGCACTTTAGCGGTCTTACTAATTTTTATAATTCATAAGCAGATTTG